ATGCAGTGGATTTTTTTGGTTAAGTAAACAGAAAATCCACTACATCAATGTGAATATTTCTTAGTGTACAATGGTAAATAAACACCTAACCAAAAAAAAAACACCAAACGGGAACACATGGTTCGACACTATACAACCCTGTCAAAGAATCTAACACCGAACAAAAACCCTAAACAAATAACGACTACCCATCTCCCAATCCAACAAAACACACACATCACACCGATGTAGAAAAAGAAAAAACCAGAAACAATGTACAAACCTTGTGTCATCGTGCCAGACTATAGAACAAAGAAACAAACACCTTTCTACAAACCCCTGTTCCCTTTTGAAAATGGCAAAACCAACACTAAACAATCCAAAAGGAGAATAAAACCACATCCACCGTGATACACTCCACCAAATCTGACACACGGAATATTATCTTCCACGTCTTACCAACCAAATCACACACATGCACCAATTTGTTCCCAAAATGAATCACACAAAAGGATACTCCAGTAAAAACATAAACCTTCCTAAAAATAACTAGGACCAATTCGTCTATAAGAAAACTCCTAGGACTAAATGGATCACCATTCCTCCATATGGGATTTATGGGTAAATTTTCCTAGTAATTACAAGGTTTAGGGATGAAATCTTACCTTGGAATACTTTTTAGGATGGATTTGTTGAAATTCTTGGGCCCTCCTTTCTTTCTTCTTTCTCTTCTTTCTTCTTCCTTTTCTCTCTCAGTTCTCTCTTTCTCTCTGTCGGTTCCCTTTTCTCTAGGTTCTTTTATTTGTTTGATTAGAGCAAGAGATTTTATCCGGTTTTGATTCTTGAATTAAACCAAGTCTTGATGCTTTTGATTTGGAAAACAATCTTATTCCCATGTTTATCAATGAATTTATGAAGTTTATGTTGAGTTTCAATGAGCCTTAGCCCAAAAACATGCAAAGAAACCATTCTAGAACAAGCAGAGTTGCGGACCTGTTGCCGGAAGCCCAAAACTGCAAGTGCGGTTTGGATTTCCGCACGTGCGAATTACCCTGTTTCAGCCAATTTCAAATAGATATATCTCTCCCATCCGGACTCGGTTTTAAGTGATTCTTGAGCCTATATTCAAGCCCTGGAAGTCTAGTTTCAAATGGTGATAGTCTCACATACAAATTCTAAGTACACAGATATAGATGCTCAAATTAGTGAAGGCTGGTCATTTTCTCTCTAACCATTTCAAGTTAATTCCTCTCCTAACTTAGTTTCCTTTCATTTCTTGCTATTTCCTTAAACCTTAAATATGTAAACATGATATTTTCAATGAAAAACATATGAAATTGTTGTAGGATACCTAAGGCTTTTTCAATATGTACATATTTAGCACACGATTAATACTTGAATTGAGCTTAGAAAGATTAGGAAACATTAATATAAGTCATGAACATTTAGGGCCATCCAAAGTACGTCTTTGGCACATGCTTTGTACATGATTCACATGTAGAAAAGATTAGCATAAACACGTAATAGAAATTAGGGAAACATCTAACCAAGTTTAGGCACTCAATTTGTCATGTTTATACAAATAATCTAGGTAATTTAATGCCACAATCAACATTTGAGTTTAAGGGATTAATCAATGTAAACAAGAACTAAGAAGGCATTAAGTCACTTAGAACGCTTTCACTAATCTAGATACATACAAATTAACTCATAGCCAAGCCTTGAACAATGTAGAAAAGAAGATTAGAAAACAATAGACATGATTAGAACACTTGAATTAAGATTAAGACTTGCAAGTTGAATTGAATTTCAATTCTTGTTCTTGTTTTGTGTAGGTTAAGCTTTGAAGAAGTTACACCCTCACTCCGGAGCCATTTGTGAGTAGTAATTTAGTAACGCCATGTTGTCAAATTATGTTTTCAATACCAAACTTGATTATGTTTACAAGCTTATTATGTTTTGCCATGAATGAACATCATATATTTTTGTATCATGCAATGCGATGACATCTTGAGAACTTGTTTGTTATTGGGAATTATGCTAATGAGCTCTACCACCGATTGTGGCCTCTTGACTCCTGATTTGAAATGTCTTGAGATTGGTCATCGCTATGTATATGTCACGAGACAATCTTGTTTTACTTGAAAGCTATATTATGTTCAAAATGTTCATATGCTTGGTTTTAATAAAGCTTGTTGGTGTTCATTTATTTACCGCCTTACTTTATTACTACTCATTGGGCTTTAGCTCACCCCCTCCCCTTATATATATGTAGTTGAGCATTTGGGAGATCAAGCTTAGAATTTTGCTTTCAATAACTTTTGTGAAGTCTTTGGAAATGCCACCCGAGTCGAGGCCCCTGTTGCCTCCTTTGGAAAATAGTTTTGTGTAATCATTTAATTTAGAATTTTGGTAATATGAATGCTTGCTTTTGATGTAATATATTTAATGTGTGTATGTAACTATAAATATGTGTTTGTTATATCATGAATGCACTGCTCAATGGACAATGATATTTTTGTTTTGCTCTCGCTTTAGGCTGCAATATTAAATAAGTATTTTCAGATTTGGTCAAAGAGGCCTTTAGTAATCTAAGATTATTGGCCAGTCACCTCTCTAACCTGTAGAGGCAGGTTAGGGACGTGACAGCTATCATTACAGGCATTCCATCATGATTGTTATCTTAAACTTCAATGTTGCTCATCCTTTTATTGGTCATTGTCATGAAAGGTATTGAAGTAAAATCCATCATATCCTTGTGCTGGTAGTTGTGCATGTAAATACCAAAAATTTTGTTATCCCTGTGGTATATTCTTTTAAATTGAAAAAAAAAAAAACATAAATCATGTAAGAAACACCAAGTTACCTGTAGTACATCAGCCATTGTAGTAGGCCCTCGTTGATTTTTGAATAGACTATAAGTACTAAGATCATTGTTATGGTACATATTTTATTTAAAAATTGCACGAATGAAACATGTAAGTTATCCCGCTAATAAAAAAACAAAACAAAGCACAAAATAAATAATAAAAAAATGCAAGTTTAATAATGAGAACTCATGAGAGACTTACCTGTCCATATTGAGATGTTTGTTTTGGTTGTGTCTATTGATGAAATAATGTGAGCACAGTAGGAACATCTATACTTGAGTGAGCATTGAGTTGCTATTGGTTTTTTGAATTGAATCATTCCATAGAGAGAGAGAGAGAGAGAGAGAACATATCAATTACACCACTTGTAAAATAAGAAGATAAATTATTTTATAGTACATATGACTATATTAAAATAAAAGGAAGACAAATGATTTTGTATAACAATAATGATACCTGTGTGAACTACGCAAATGGAGAAAATTCACTTTGTTCAATAGGATCATACATTGGGTTAACATTATTTGAGAATGGACTTCCGTGAGATTTTTTCTTCTTAGTAACCCTTTCAAGAGCACTTTTTGGCCTTTTGCTAGACTTGCTATTAGTTCTCTCTTTAACTTTAATACCTCTAACTCTTACATCAATGCCATCAACCCATATGGTTTCATTTTGCTTGAACAAATTACTGTTGGGATGTGAGGTCCCAAGATAAGCTTTCTCATACGCGCATTCACCTCTTCCAATATCTTGTTAAGACCATCTAAAGCAATTTTATGAGTTTTTTTTTGTTTCAACATCTCTAGTTGCCAATTGAGTACACAAACAGCACAACTCTTTGTATTGTCTTCCAATCATTGCCTTTAGATCTTCATAACTTATACAAGTAACTTCTATACTCCCTGATTTTGCATCCTTTGTGCACCTCTTTAAAATGTACTGATCAAGTATCTTTGTAACATTTTTGAAGAAAAAACTTTAAGTGCATGTGAACATATAAGCTCAAATTTCTTACAGCTACACACCACTGTATACCTTTTGATGAGTCGTATGTAATAGTATGATCATGATGCTTGCAGTAAGGCATGATCTTATATTCAGTCACAGTTCCATCCTCACCACATAGACGCATATTACAATCATAAGCCTTGCACAACTTAGCTTGAAATAATTTAAAGACCTCTGGTGAGTATATACTTGCTGCATGTTTTAAAATTTCTACCGAAAATGTTAAACCCGGGGTACTTTGACTTGCTCTAAAATCAGCTTTAAGCTCTTCATAACGGTGATCATCAATTAACCTTTGGAGGTGTTGGAAGAAAAAGCAACAAATCAGGCTTGTAGTTGAAATATTTTTTTACAACACTATCCATACTCACACTGCACGGGGTGGTGATCATGTCTATACAAAAAGTTTGTCTGCCATAAACTAAAGCCCATTTTTCCTTCATATTATACATTCGCTTCAACCAATCATTATCTTCAAGACTATAGTTTTCAAGCATCACATTCCATGCATTGATAAAATCATCTTCTTCTTCATAGTTGTATATGCAGTGACTAAAATCTTTTGTAAATTCTTTGAACCTTGCAAACACACCACTAAGTTTCATAGCTACATTTTGGTAGATGTGCCAAATACATAAACGGTGAAATGTGTCCGGCCACTGAGCAACTAATGATTTGGTCATTGCTGGATCTTGATCTGTAAGGATAGTTCTTGGTGTTTTTCCAGACATAGCCTTAGTAAAAGTATCAAATAACCACATAAAAGAATTAGTTGTCTCGTTGTATAATTATGCAGCACCAAAAATAGTGGTTTGCTTGTGATGGTTCACCTCAACAAACATTGCAAAAGGTCGACCTTCTTTGTTTTTCCTATACGTCGTATTAAGACATACTACATCCCAAAATGAGCATAATCAACTATCATCTTTGCATCTACCCAAAAGATATTAGTAATTGTATGGCATAACAAAAATTAGGGCAGTGTTTGGAGCAGCTTTCTAAAACTAATTCTACCTTTATATTCTAATGCTATGTTTAGTTGAAGTTTTCAAATCTTGACTGCATTAGCAAACTGAGGCCACATTAAATGAAACTTTGACTCAAACAACTTCACTAAATCCTAAATTAAAAACATTAAAATACCTGAAGAAGATGTATCCTCGCATCAACATGAAAAGTTAGATTTTCAGGAAGCCAAAGAACAGCCCGTTTCAAATTCTGTGTTGTTCCCCAATGATAACAAGGCTGAGAAACAGAAACAGTATTAACATATACTCTGTTACAAATACTTCAGTGGCACAATCAGTAATAATATTGAAATAAAATTAAATACAAAGATATTTGGTGACAGCATAAGAAGGGCATATAAGATAAAAATACAAGTACATTGATTTTTAAGAACTTGTCTCTAAGAAAGAGTATATCATACCTGGATAGCGATTCTACAAGTGTGAGGGCAGATCCATGATGCTGTTGTGGCAAATGTTCAAGCTAAAATTTGAAACAGTAGGACTTTTAAATTATCCATTTAAAGCTGAACACTGCAACAAATTTAAAAAATAAAGAATCACCTTCAAATTTCGTAGCTGGACAAGGGAGTCGGTGAATGTTTTGGCTAGAGGCTTTAGTTCATCATGCTACAGAACCAAAAGACCACAACTTCATAATATTCATCAAATATAAATAATATCTCATATAGTGGGAAGTAGAACTGACCGGAAAAGCATAAGTCATATAGTTGTCATAACCATGGTAAAACCTGAAAGGGAGAAAAAGCAGAGGCACATTTGGAACATAGAAATCGCAGAAACAGAGGCACATTTAAATGATAGAAACAGAATCCAAAATCAGCAATCCAAAATCGAAATGGACAATCGCAATTTCAACCACACCCAATCACGAAATCAGGAAAAGCCCTAAAAATTTGTGTACGAAATAAATGGGAAATGAAATGTGAAACCCTAAAATTAATCGTGAGAGAAGGGGATGTGAGAGACATCGACAAACAGATCGAACCAAATCGACAGAGAAGGAAAGAGACGATAGAAACATACCTGCGATGGTGATGATGGCCGGTAGTGCTGATCGTCGATTTGCAGTGGTGGTCGTGGCGAGCGCCGGTGGCCTGCGACGGTGATGATCGCCGGTGGTGAGCGACGGGTTTGGTAGGGACGGGTTTGGTATGTTGATGTCGGTGTGTGAGACAGAAGAGAACAAAAAAAATCTGTGTAATATATATGTACTGGGCGCGAAATTACTTATTTTCCCTCTAAAATTTTTTTCGAACATTTGGCGACTAAACGATTATTTGTCGCCAAAAACCTTAACAGCGGCAAACAATTGGTCAGCTGAAGATCCCTCTTTGGCTACTAAATAAAAAAATTCGTCAGTAATACTGAATAAACAACAACTAAACCAGATTTGGTCGCAAAAAGTAATCAAAAAAATGCCCTTTTTTTGGCGACAAAAAGTGTTTAGTCGCCAAATGATACAATATGGCGACAAAATTAAATGTTAGTAGCCTAAACTTCTATTAAACAGCGACTAAATGGAAATTTGGTCGCCAATTGTAATATATGGCGACTACAATACTTTAGTAGCTAAAAAGCTTTAATCAACGGTGACTGAAGATGTTTTTTGTCGCTGAATGTGGTGTTTTTGGCGACTAAAATTGGTTTGGTCGCCAATTTTAGTCGCCAAACATGCATTTTCTTGTAGTGACTTATGCCCAGATTATAAGTCATCTCCTAAATAATTATCTTCAGTGTCCATAACCTTCACATAAAAAATAAAAAACAAATAAGAAAGCTTAAGACACAACTTTTACTTATTATAAAAAATTAAATAAATAAGCCCACTATATTAACAACAAACAAATACATTAACAAAATTCATCAATTCCACACAGGAAATCTTTAAAAACTTATTAAATACTATGGTATAATGGAAAGTTAGATGGAGGGGTTAGGGCACATGGGCTTCTGGGACTAATCTTGAATATAAATAAAAATGTTGTTCCTACTTAAATCTATCCCTCCTTTTAACCTTCATATCATATTTTATATATATATATATATATGGGCTCTGACTAATTAATTTTAAAAAAATTTATAATGTGCACTGTTATGTTAATTTGTAGAGAAATTTTAATATATACCTATTTAAAAAGTGTGTATCATATGTATTTTTAATTATATCATTTTTTTAGTTATGACGTAGTTATGATATTATTTTAGTTATGATTCACCAGTTCTTTAGTTATGTCTGATATTGTGTTTAGTTATGACATTTTTTTTTTCTAACTAGGGCTCAAAATATTGAAGTTATACCCTTTTTTTTGTTGTTATAAGGATGTGCATCATAGTGTTTTCTCAATTTGTAATAATCAATTTTTATAGTATATACCTACAGTAAAAGTCATACTTTTTAGTGGATGGAAAAAAAGTTTTACTTTTTCTTTGACAAGAAAAAAATAAATGCTAACAAGTGACTCTTATGCATTATTTAATGTTAAAAGTTTGTAAAAAATGTATTCAAAATAAGTAAAAATATTAAAAAATGTATTAATTTCAATAACAGTGCATTGAATTTAATAAAAAGTGTATTGTGTTTCTTAACTTTTTAATCTTTTACTTGTACCTTAAAATCACTTGTTAACAAAATCTTAAGAAAATATTATTATTTTATGATTTATGTTAAGTATATATCATTTTAAAAGTGTACATAATAATATCACTATAGTTGTATTTTAAACATCACAACAAACTAACTAATTATATAATACTTAATAATTAAAAAAAAAAAAAAGCACAAGTTGAATTATGCTGAAAATTTATAAAATTTTAAACCGCCAAACCGATTCGCATCCATCCGCCAAACCGCCAATCCGCTCAATCCACATCCGCCGGATTGGCGGACAGATGCGGATTGATTTTCTCCAATCCGCCAATCTGGCGGACGGATAGCGGATTGGAGGTTCCGTGGCCGCAACCGACCCGCGCCCACCCCTACCGCTAGCACACATTATTTTCAATACAACTGCTGACGGAGCGTAATTAGAATGATTTAAATAAATATATTTTTTAATTTTTTATAAAAAAATATAAAATGTAAATTGAGTTTGAAAAAATGTAATAAAAAAGTGATATGATTTTAAGTAAAATAATATATTAAAATAACATAAATTATTTTACCACAAGCCGAACACCTCCTTAGATTCTGGATAGAAGACAAGCTCAATTTGTCATATTTTCTATTGTTTATTCACAATGATTAAAAGCTCACACAATTACATGAAGTGGACTCCCATTCTGATTAAGCACGAAGGCCTTTTTTGCAACATTTAAAAAAAGTTAATTTATTAATTTATTTAAATCATATTATCTCTCTATTTTTTATATATTTTTTCAAAATGAAAATAAAAGTCAACTTATAAGCCGAGCAATGATAGGTATAATGAAAAAAATATTATGAAAATTCTTCATTCTTGGATTACACACATAATAAAATACTATTCACTAATCAAAGAAAAGAAAAGAAAATTTTCATAAAGCATTTCATAATATTTCTTTCATTATACATAATATTATTCCTTATAAACCATACCTAAAACAAGGTGTGTTTGTGACTAGACTTTATTCTTAGGAGTGATTTGGGATTTGATTATTTAGTGTTTTTTTTATCTTTTATAAAAAGATACGCAAAAAAATAGAGAGATAATATGATAATTTGTAACAAATAAGTTGCTTAGCCTGTGTTTGGCAAGTAGGTTTGCAGGCTTTTTTGGCTATTTTAGCCACAAAAAACAAAATAGGCTATTTTAGCCCTAACAAACAAAACATCACATCCAACCCATAATCATTACATTCTTCTCTCACAAAAAAACTCAAAAAAGCCAAAAAGCCAAAAAGTCCTTCCCAAACCAAGCTTTTAAGCCCAGGCTAAAATAGCTAAAAAAGCCAAAAAGTCAAAAAGCCAACCCACTTCCCAAACGGAGGCTTAGATTGTTGCCCAGCAACTCTTAAATTTGTTCAAAAACCTTATCAGAGTATGTCAAAAAATAAAAATAAAAATAAAAATTTATTGATATAAAACTATAGATTCTTTATTCAGAAAGTATATTCACTCTATTTAAAATGATGAATTTCATTGTTTAGAGTGGTACGATGAAAAAAATACCACGAGTCAAATTTTGTTTGCATACTTTTAAAATGTGTAAACAAAATACATTTATAGTTTGGTCGTAAATAATCATATGCACAACTTTGATACCAATCAAATATTCTTTCAAAACGTGTGAACTGATTATTGATTTTATCATGTTTGAGGATACAATAATCCATTCACATTCTGTGGGTGTTTAGGAATTGAATTTTTTTATAGGTTTTTTTAGTTATAGGATTTTATTAGAGAATTTTTTTTTTGTGTTTAGAACGATAGTTGGATTTTTTTATGGTTGGATGTGATATTTGTGAGAGAAAAAATAAAATAATTATGGAATTTGATGTGATATTTTATTTGGATTTATTTTTTTTAATTTTGTAAAATATTTGTCTTATACTGAAAAAAAAACAAAAAAAAAAAAACCTAAAAACTAAGTTACCAAACACCGCCAATTCTCAAAAAATCTGATCTTATTACTATATACAATCACTTTAACATGTTGGGGAATCTGGTTGAGTTAAAATAACTTTTTAAAATATTAAATAGCTTAAAATAGTCAATAAAATAAAATATCATATCTAATTCATAATCATTTTATTTTTTCTCTCGTAATCATCAAATCAACTATTATAAAAGTAAAAAAGAAGTCAACTACCTTCTCAAACACAACTTTTTTATCTAATCTATAATCATTTTATTTTTTCTCTTGTAATCATTAAATCAACTATTATAAAAGCAAAAAAGAAGTTAACTACCTTCCCAAACACAACTTTTTTATCTAGGTTAAAATAACCAACTAAAATAGGTTTCATTTGGCTATTCCAATTGGAACTAAAAAAACACAAAATACAAAATAAGTTAATAACACGAAACATCATATTTAAATCATAATTATTTTATTTTTTTTTCACAAAAATTAAAAAAAAAACTAAAAAAAAATTGTCAAACGAACTTTTTAGTCCCAACTTCCTAAGCTAAAAAAACCTCAACTCTAAAAAGCCAACCAAAAGAATTTTTGCCAAACGACAACATAAAATTATTTTGAAAAGATAATTAAAAATTAACTTTTTAATTTTTTTTTAACATATATAACAAAATATGACTAAAAATTGGTTAAAAAATAATAAATGACTTTTAATCCACTTCAAAAAGAAAAAAAAGGAAAAAAAAAAGCAACCTCCAGTACATGAAGTTAAAACGGGTCAAACATGGTAGAAGATGCTGTCTCCAGTGCATGAAGTTAAACGGGTCAAATTTGTCGTGATACTCGTTTAGGATTCGTCTGGTGAGTTCGCTTTTTAATTTTTTTTTTGATTATTTTATACTAAAATTAAAAAGTTTAATTTAAGATAATTTGTTTAACTTTTTAACTTTTTGTAGACTGTTCCATAAATTACCAAACTGGCCTTGGGGTACATGTTGGACGCTGTGGGCGGCTGAGCGGTACACGTCAGCCATACTTTTTTTTTTTTTTGGGGATAAACCTCTGGGCAAATTACAAATACCCTTCGAGATTTGATAAAAATACAAATTTTTTTTTGAGATTTAAGAAATTACAAATTACTTCTTAATGTTCAAATTTTCATAACAAATTAGGAAAAATTAAAAGGGAATCTGTATAAAAATAAAAACTTCAGAGGATAATTTATTATAAAAATATAAATCTCAGGGAACGAGATGTAATTTCCCAAACTTCAGGAAAAAATCTATATTTTTACCAAATTTCGAGAGGATGCTTGTAATTTGCCCTAAACCTTTTTATGATTTTTTTGATGACGTGGAAAATTAACATTTAGATGTTATTTGTTTGTCAATGTTTTTTGTTTTTTTTTTTGTTTTTTATATTAATTTGTTTTTTATTTTGCAAAAAGTTGTTTCATGTTTTTTTTTTTTTTTTTAATAAGTAGGTCATAAAATAAA